GACGGTAAATGTGTATTGGTGACGCACATCTGTGTTAGGCTAGTTTATAGAGGGGCATAGCTCTTCTGTGTTGATAAAAATATATAAAATAAAAATTTGAAGACACCAACTAAAAACAACCACAAAGACTAAACGCCGACACAAAAAGAGCAACGGATCCAGGGGCGGTGTCCAAACTTTAAAATCGCCAGACTAAGTTAATGATTTTTTTATATTATACAAAAACAAATTGAATAATTTGTTTCAACGGGGGGGGGCGGACGCCAAGAACACCCCCCTAGATCCGCCACTGAACGGATCCATAGCTACATCAAACTGTTAAACTTGTTAAAACACGGTATATCTCTTTCTGGAGGATGTGGTGGCCCTAAAAAGGGCCGTTTTGTACAGTTGTTGAGCTAAACGCTAAACGAACAGATATCCTATATTGAAGAATGATCTAGTATCAGCTGGTGTAATTTCCTCAACGGCAGAGTATATAGCATACGGAAAATTTTCAGAGCTGATTAAAGACAACGGTGGTCGCTCTAAACACCTTTTTATTTTGTTAAAACAAAATTCAGCTGCGTTGAACTCTGGGGAGTATGTTGGCGTAAATATGACGTCAATGCCTTGTTGGTTCAACCACATCTCTAAAACTTGTGAAACTTGGCTGTGGTGTATCGGCGCGTTGTCTAATATTAGAATGTCACCAGGATGCAGCGCCTGCACACCATAATCGCTGACGGTGTCCACACACTGTCTAATAAAATCACCAAACGTGACTGAATTCGATGGCCCTTCAACAACCTGTACATGCGATACCCCATCGAGACCCATGAGTAAATTTAAAGTCATGTTAGGACTGCGATCATAGCGTACTACATCAACACAACGTAGGCCCTTAAGCGAGTGTCCGTATCTGGGTTTACCATGGTCGTTCAATTTAAACCCACTTTCATCCATAAATTTCAGTCGTCTTGGTTCTATGGTGTGCAATAAATCCAAATACGCCTGTGTGTACATAAGGTTACCAAGGGAAAAGCGTTTACTCGCTGACCGAACAGTACGCTGTTCTGTAGGTGTTAAAAATGTCTCTGATGGAGACCAACTTTGGTCCACCTACATTGACTATAAAAGAAAAGCACACAATTTGATAAATACTAAAATGATGGAATTCAAAGTTAAACGGAGTGTAAATATAGCTAAGAATGGTGGTAGGAATTCAAAACTGTTTTGGCAAGATCTAAAGGGGCCAAAAAATACTACCAATCAAACATGTATTTATGACATTCTAAGTAATAGTAAACGTATAACAACAAACCAAGAAGTGATAAAAAGTAATCTAAAACATTACTGGAATACTATAGGACGAACCACATCGAGGTCACGACTCGGTTAGCCTTGCTCAACTGGTTCGTAACCAGTCTTGTGATTGGTTGTTGATAAATGCTGAACAGGCCACGCCTTCAACGGTGTCATGCGTTCGGACTAACCGTTAGGAATTCCTAAATGGAGTAAATTTGTGTAGTTTTCTTGATTTATTCTGCAGATATCGGTAAAATGTAGGTAAGGCTTTGGCGAAATTCGAAGGAGCAACTAATAATCTTCAACCTGGTATTTTTTTTAGATTTTATTTTTTATTTTTTTCGTCTGTTTTTTCGAGTTTAAAAAATGTGAGCTGGCTGGAGCCTTCATCCCTTGTCTATTTCTTACACTAGAGACCAGCCGATAACCCCCCCCCCCCCTGCCGCTCATAGAGACTGCGTATTACAGTTGATTATAGTTCCTGGGCTCCCTGTGAGGAGACCTGTAAACGAAATCAGAATCTTTCGTCTCGTCCGGACAGATTGCAGCTCGTTTGGCTGGACTGGACAAATCAAGTTGCTTGGGTTGGTGCTGCGCTTCCTGACGAACTGATTGTCGAACTTTTCCCCTGTAGTTTACTTGTATCTGGTACGCCATACTCGCTCGAAGAAGACACTAATTCCCCAGACTATTTCGCACACACAAATGCTTTTCCAATGATTACTGAACGCGTGTTCAGAGAAACTTCCACTTCCTGAATTCAGATGGGTCCCAGACTGGGGTGCCAAACCGGGGTGTCAGGTAGCTCCAGCTTATTATATTTCGAAAATTGTCGAACCGTTACCGTCAAAATCTTCAAGTTGTTTTTATACAAACGATCCCTGTCACATTCCGGGTTTGTTCGGCACAAATGAGATCACAGTTACCACTCCTTTGAGTAAAATGGTTTGTCTCGTTAACCTCCGCCTTTTCGTCGCTGATTGTTTTTAAAATGTAGCCAGTTTGTTATTACAGTTATATCGGCCGACAAGCAATTGACGGCACCAGGTGCCTGGCAGGACAAACGCACAATCAATCAAACGGACCGACCGTTCCAAACTAATTTCACGCAATTATGCCGTTCGTTGTATTCATTTTGAAAACATAAAACGTAGTAGTATTCTGTGTGTTTGTTCTCTGCCATTGTTGGCTCTACATTGCGTGATAGTAGTACACCATGCACACACCATCAAAAAGGTGTGACCGCGACACCTTTTCAGTACCGAATAACACCTATTAAACTGGGCGTCTAGAAGACCTGTTCGTTATTTTAAGAACTTCGATGTTATGTATTTTATAATCGTTACATTAAGAACTTCGATGTTATGTATTATCGTAAATTTAAAGAAACTTCGATGTTATGTATTTTATAGTCGTTACCTGTTCGTTATTTTAAGAACTTCGATGTTATGTATTTTATAATCGTTACCTGTTCGTTATTTTAAGAACTTCGATGTTATGTATTTTATAGTCGCTCCCTGTTCGTTATTTTAAGAACTTCGATGTTATGTATTTTATAATCGTTACATTATCGTACATTTAAGAACTTCGATGTTATGTATTTTATAGTCGTTACCTGTTCGTTAATTTAAAGAACTTCGATGTTATGTATTTTATAATCGTTACATTATCGTAAATTTAAAGAACTTCGATGTTATGTATTTTATAGTCGTTACCTGTTCGTTATTTTAAGAACTTCGATGTTATGTATTTTATAATCGTTACATTATCGTAAATTTAAAGAACTTCGATGTTATGTATTTTATAATCGTTACATTATCGTACACTTAAGAACTTCGATGTTATGTATTCTCGTACTTTCGAACAATCAATAAAGTTAGCAATCCGGTTGTTGCCCCTCACACACAAAACCAAGACACGCAACAACTCAATGATTGATTCTGGTTTACGTGTTACGATATTATTGTACATACACGTCACCTGCAATAAGGAAAGATAATAAATGAACGTAAAAGCACTGTTTGATAGGAACATCATGAAGCTCACTGGTTTCAGATATAATATACTAGCCAAGCCGACACAACCCCTATTGCTCAATAGAATAATCCAAGATGGCGATGTTTGAGAA